CATTTTTTCCTCTGAGAATACTCTCGATAATAATTTAAATCATAAGTATGAGTCAAGAACTTTTACTTATTCTGCTTGCGTTTCATAGATACCCGTACTCTTCTGAGTACTACCAGATTTCAACGATGAGTTAAAACCTGTTCCCATAGTTCTAGCAACTTTATTAATTGAAACTAGATATTATGAATGAGAAATAAGATATTATGCAAAGATTCTCTTTTTCAAATGTTAATTTATAACAAGGTGTTCACATTTTTTTTTTGAATTTCACAACATATGAATTTATATCTGGCATCAATCCCTTACGGATATAATTCATCAACTCAACTTAATGATATATACAATAATTATCAATTTTTTCATGTACATAATTCATTGGAACCATATGCATATCAGACATTTTAGTGATCATAATATTATGTTACAGCATGCAGTAGAAAGTCTTCTATGGTATAGTCTGATTTATTAGACATTTCTATTTCAACAGTCCTCAGATTCTCTTCTTTTCTCTATATAGTATAAAATAAATTTCCCGGAAGACGTCTGTATGTTCGGTCTAATCTCGAGAGGCACTGGACGATGCGGTTTTCACCATTTTACAGAGAATCTCTGGAGGAAAGTTTATGTGTACGAAACATTAATCTATGATAAAAGGGAGCCAAGCAGTGATGATTTCAGTGAAGCAAGTGGACAAAGGAATGGCCATGCAAGCGCTTTCTTGGCTTTCGCTACCTAAACCGTTGTAAACATATTATATATAACAATACAATTTATGGAATAATTATTGAGGATAAAAAGTTCTAAGAAAAGTCCATGGCAGCATACACCCATCTTTAAAAGATAGCCTACAATGAGCGTATTTTTTATGCAATTTGCAGTGAAACAACAACGTCAAGTCACAACTGACGAAGCTAGGGCGGGTCGTTGGTACTAAAATATATTATAACGGCACTTATGCTTCTTATACCCTTCACGATTTTGCCGGCAATGTTATTATTCCGTACATCCAAGAATACATGTTTTTCAATCGCTGATCATTTTTGTTATTGTTATGCAGTGAAAAGTATGGTTTTCAATGGCACAAGCACTTCAACAAGAGTTGTATCATTTCCTTCCACGTTCTGCTGTTTCGTTGATCTTTTGTTCAAAAGTTACGTAAAAATATTTCGAACGACGATTCCCAACAGAGTGGAATATCTTTAGCTGCTACAGTGCATGCTTGTTCACTATAGATTATGTATTTTTTGCTGTGTTCTGTAAATTATTCAAAGACAAAATAAATTTATGAAGAAAAATTGACAAGTTGTGAATACCATCCACTCTTAGAAAACAAATCGAGAGAATTTATATACCAAATAGTATAGGTACAAGAAATAACTGGAAACACATAATAGGAAGCAGACCTCTATCGTGACCCTCGTAAAATGGTATAGACCTTGAATTCGAAGAATGGGCACGGTCAAACCAAGACCGGTCATGAATATTCTAATGCCTAGTTAGCCCTTCCGTAGATATGCAACTATCTCGAATATCGTATATTGTTTATTCTATATGTATGTTCGTAGGATGCGCACCTGTATATCAGGAATACCTGTATTCCGTTATGTATTCATGCATATTAAATACCTAATACGATAAAGAAGCAGGATAGGCTTTACAGTATTATTGATGAATATTTAATCAATTGAAGTTATCCCACTTACAGATATGATTCCTCCGGTAGAATCAATTTCAAATGGGGCGATATTCTTCAATAACTCTTCAATAATTGAAAGATAACGTAAAGTAAGTTTTATTTAACGTAAAGTATTTTTTTATCAATGTTCAAATTTTAACGTAAAGTATTTTTTTATCAATGTTCAAATTTTCGAAGAATTAAGCATAATGTGATTGTCCCCTTAAGCAGAAGAGAGGGCAGTTTAACGATTTCTCTTTAGGAGCATAAAAACTGTATATCTTTTGTTCTCTTTCTTTTCCGTATTCCAAGAAGCCGCTCCGACTAAAGCCTATCCAGCCAACGAGTTGGTATTGTAAGCGTATGCTTTATTGCACCAATTTTATGACGAACAACTTTTTCGAGATAGATTCTTGACTCTTGCCGTTTATAAGACTGCGTTTCGCTTAACTGTAGAACAACTATTTATTTTATTTAAGTCGATAGCGGCACATCCGGTTTTTCAACCGGAGCGTCACTCTTACAATGCAAGATCTCAGGTCCTCATACTTGGCTATTCGGGCACGAAATTACGTAGACCACGTGCCAACAGGAATATCACCCCTACCAATTATGATTGATTGTGAACTTTGCGAAATTATCGGTGCTAATTGTCCAACTATTTCAACCGTTCAGATGAATATTCCCCCTACATAAATGTTACCTCTTGTGCTCGTGTAAATAAATTACCGTTAATCTGACTCTCCCAATGTGGTGCAGTGTAAATGAAAATATCAATTGAAAAAATCAGATAATTTTTTTTTTCAAATTGAGACACGTAAAAATTATTCTGACGATAGTATATCATTGATAATAAGATAAAAAATCTTAAAATTGATCAATATTGCATAATCATTTGTCGATATTTAATCAAGTGCCCGTATCCGCAACATAGCATATCCGTAAACACAAACAGAAAATAAAACTACGAGAAAGAGTCTTTGTCGATACATAGCTTTCATCCGTCAATGGTTATTGTTACACTATTGACAAAGAAAGTTTCTTTTATTCTTATGGTTGTCTTTTCTTATTATTTACAAAGTTTTATAATTTTTGAAATGTTAGATACACTGTACTCATAACAAATATAATAGTTTATTCATTCCTTATAATAGACAATCGACATATCAGTCATGATCGAAACATATAGCACCAGATTAAGCGTTTTTATTGAACCTTATATCCAAAGATCATCTAAACATATGTATATACGCATCCTCGGATTACAGGTCGCGTCCGTATTATGAATTCATTTCCATGTGGTGGCCGTGATTACGCCACCAGCGAGCGGCTCTAAAGAAGTCTCAACACTTTGTATACCATTTCTCGACGTCAGAGAACTTCTTCGCGGTCAAGGCTCTTTCGTTCAAGTCATTGACATCGCGGGGCCGTTCGAGCAGAGTGATGCTGTTCATTACACCGGGTGACTAAACAAGCATCAGCGAAATCATAGAGATTCATCGGTGTTCTTCAAAGAGTTCTGCCGCCTTTCGTTTCCACGCTCGCGAGTGTGCCTTTGCCGGTCATTAAACTTTTTTTTTCTTCTATTCGACACATTGTTGCATTATTAAACCGTAACAATTTTTCTAATTTAAAAATAATATTTTCTCTAAATTATGCTTATCAATCTTTTATTATGAATAAAAATTCTTTTTCATTATCAATATAACAATGATCGTAATTTATGTTTTAAGTTAGTTATTGCGAGGTATCAATTTTCTTAGGAAATTGTTGAAACTTCAGCTATTTATTATGCGATGCTTCTTGCATAAATATGTGAAGTTTCAAAATTATTAATCACCTAGAACCCGAGAAAATTATCATAGAAAAAAAAATCTTATACACGGCATCCCCTATGTAACGCGAAAGTTTGATTACATTTTTGATCACAGTAAATAAATCTTTCTTACCGTTTTGATCAAATTTTTTTGTAAGAAAAACAGATATTTATCGGCACACGTCAAATAGTTTGGAAACCATCAGCCATCTAGTTTCGGAGAAAAAAAAATTTAAAGATCGTCGTATGGTGTTTTCGAGTAAACAGATCTGAACGAAATGGTAATATTATACACTGCCGTGACATATAAGAGGGAAGAATGTGGACGCGTACTTTTCAAATTAACGTACGATAATTTTTGAACGATGTAAAATTGTTGAGAGATCGCGTACTGTTGGAACAAAAACAAATAAATAAAAAAATATATAAATAAATAAAATTAATAAATCATGAATTTCATTTCGTAATCTATTGTTTACTTAAAGCAATATTGTGGGGGTTACATATTAACAACAATAATTTATCTCCACATACATTAATGATCACGTATACCTTTGAAAAGTGACTAAATCTTTCTACATATAACATTGAAACAAATTACTGGTTATTTTGTATTTGAAAAAACGTAATAATGCTGTCAATATTTTGAACGTTTCGGTGACTCATAGTTTATTGTTCTCTTGTTTCTCTGATAAAAATTCTTTCAGTTTGGAGGAGCCGCTACGCTAATACACTTCTTGCATGTTAGAATACGTGAATCATGCGCATGCAATTTTTTTTATCATACCGTCAGAATCGTCCCATTTAAAGGCTCTAGAGTGAGTGTAATTGTCGCTGTCTTTTACATTTGTCTATCTTTGTTCAGCGCCTCGGTATAAGATTTGCTGTGCTAATATAAGTCTGTTGGAGAGATGAATTGAGAAACAAGGTCTACCAGAACGTTTACATCATATGAGGTTTTGTGAAATTGTTCGGTTGAATTCTTCTGAAGCAAATCCAACGCTAGCGTTGATAACTGAAATTTCCCTTTCCCTTTTCGATTCGGAATCTATTTTTTTAGTAGAGATAGAGAATCGGAAAATCAAGCGATAATAGGTTTGAAGTCGTGAGTCATTGACGTTCGATTTATTTCTTGAAGCAGAAGCATCGTATCGAAACGTGAATTGTGAGCAACGAGCAGAGACGGTTTCGGCGAGTAATCGAGGAATTCGAAAAATCTTTAGAGAGCATCTTTTAGCGGAATCGACGGAACTATTGTGCCGTGGAAAACAATTCTCCATTCTTACTCTCCAATCCAGTAACGAGCGAAGCGCTAGGAGCAATCGGTTTTGAAGGATTTATATACACGGAAAATGTATGATCATTGTTCTTTTCGACGATTTGTAGAATGTCCGCACATTTGCCCAAACCCGATGATTCCAGAACGAAGTAAACGACTTTGCAGAAATCTTTAGTGATTGCAATCTCATTCTCGATATTATTATTTATCTCAACATCATTTACGCGTTCTCAGTCTATCTCGATCCCGCAGTTTGGCTGGTATTGAACTCCTTCCCTCTGCTCTGTATTTTTTCTCAATTCTTGCAATCTTCTCAGTATATTTTGCCGACTTTTTGTAGTTGACAATTTCGCAGCTGCCGCTTGTCGTATTTTGATTTCATCTTGTCGTTTTATAAACGGTTTAGTATATTTAACGGGTGACATACCTAATTTCTTCGCGACATGAGGCAAATAACCATTTCCACCATTTTTTGTACAGATAGAACTCGCCCATTGATAATCGGCAAACTCTCTCTGACTATAGTAACGATTCTTTGGAGCTTTATGTGCCATAATATTATTCAAACTTTCATTTCCTTGACTAGAAGCGGCTACCGCTGAATTATTTGCGTATTTTTGAAAGAGTTCACTTAACACTTGATGCAATTCTGGATTTTTTAATAGGATTTGCTGAGAATTAGAATCATTTTCGGAGCCTTGATAATACCGTTGACCACAGTTTTCGTGTTGGTCAAAGACATGATCCGGTATTGCACGTAACATTGCTGCTAGGTCTGTACTTTTTCCTTTATTCTGTGCTACCGCGAAGGCGAAACATTTCTGAAGGTGTGGAATAACATCACGGTTGCTGATCTTTTTATATATATTGTTTTAAGGTCCTACAACGCGCCTGTAAACTGTTTACGGAGGTGATTTTTGTGAACTAACTTAAATATTCTTTCGGAGCTCCCACGGCGAACTGCCGCGATTGCTGAGCTTTCCTCATCTCCGATCAGAACCCGGACATTGAGACCTGTCTCCTTCAGGATAGCGCTTTCATGCACAAGCTCGTCACCTGTATCAGACTCCATAGCTGTTTAAGTTCCTCGGAAATTTTCTCGGCATTCGTAATTGATTTTTTATGGCCTCTTTCGCATAATTTGCACTTTCAATTTCGATTTTGAAAATCCAAAACTTTCGCCATCCAAAATCCTATAATAGCACCATAACCGCTTAGGCTGTCGTAGCATCCCATGTTATAGGATACTATTATATTATATTTACAATATTGCCTAGTGCATTATTAAAAAGTTGTACATCGACATGTGACTTCCCATATCGATATTTCCGTTGAAAAGATTGCAAGAATTTGCTTGCGGAGGATAATCATTTGAACTTGATGGCATGGAAGTGTCACATTCTATATCTTCGGTAGTACAGAAATTGCAAACGGTTCGAAGTTGGCATGAATCTCCCGAATTATTTCTTGTGGCCTAATAAAAAATATATTTATTTTTTACATGACTGATTGGAACTTTTGTACAAAAATGATTTTAGATGTATATAATGTATATTCACAGTAAGAGTCTAAATTTGTATGTTTGTTCAATAAGATGGTCAATTCCAACATTATTCTAATGAAATTACAATACATATAAACTGTATCGTGGCGTTACAGAGCTGGAGGGGATACCACCTAGGAATGACCGAAAAATAAATAACTAGGACTTATCAAGTCGGACAGTGGGTTCAGTGGCACAGTGATAAGTGCTCGACTTGGCAGTCCGAAGGTATCGGGTTCGAATCCCGATCAGAACTCCTAGTTTTTTAGAAATTCCTAGCCCTCTAGTGCTCCCTGGCGGCTCTATGGATAAAAATTAATTATAGCGGGGACGAGCCGAGCCGGGCACCCCGTTATAAAACATATAAGATGCTGCAACAATATACAATTAATTTCTTGGTTCTTGTTAGGAAAATAAGAAGACTTAAAAATGAAAGAATTGTAATGTTCTGTTTATCTGTTACCGATAAAAATGTTTTTGAATTTTCATAAAAATGTTGAGTGTAGAATCTAAATTTTACTTACAAGGGGAGGGCGCGACGTTGGTCACACGGATTTCGGAGTCCTTTTGGGGTAGGAAAGTACTTTGTAGTAACAATCTACAGGCCAATCGGCAGGACGCAACGCGGAGCCGTTTTCGAAAAAAACCGGTTTGAAAATCGCAGTACTTTTCATATACCTGCATCGTTGCTAATATTTTCGAGAAGGCGGCAGCGCGCCTGACTACCACCCGAGCGACCAGGGTTCGATTCCCGACCACAAGTAAATTTTTTTTTATATTAATTCATTTTTTTTGCGACCCGACAGCCCATGTTTATCTATCAACGATTTGGTCAACTTATGTACGAAATGAGTGGATTGGAACACTATTATTTTTCATTATCAAACACTGATTTATTACAAAATGTTATAGAGATTCACAGGGTATTTTGGTTTACAAATATTGTTTATTAGTCGCTATCACTATTGTTTTCTGTACAGCCGTTGCATCTATTCGGATGGTAGTTATCATAAAAGCATGAAAAACATTATTTCTTTTCACACCACGAACATTTTATAAATGCAACGTCGTCGCACTTACAATATTTTTTCGAAAGCGACAGAGGAATAGTATATTGTGCACCGAGCGCGAAAACGGGCGTTTCTGCGGCTAGTTATTTTATCAGTAAAAATACCAGTTAATAAATTTTGAAATAGTCGATTAAATGTACGTCGCATATTTACTTGCAAATAATATGGCAAGGCGACTTATCAAATACCAGTTTCGTGTTGACGTCTGCGAGTTCAACATTTCTTTTCCCATCGGAACTTCTGTCAGAATGGAACAATTTTGGCAAAAGACATGTAAAATGGAATTTAAACTAAATTGTTTCTCCCGAACAATGTTTTTAGCGAAAGAACTTGATTAAATTTTCGCCAAGCACCGACACCTCGACAATATGCCGTCCAACACACAAGTGATTTGTTTCAGGTTCTTCGAATTCAGCTTTTCTTTCCTCGACGGCTGCAGCTTTCATCTTCGCATCATTCATGCTTTGTACGGCTTTCAATCTCTTTACCATCACACTTTTTTTTTAGAAATTTTCCTTTAAATCTCACGCGATTTATTTTGGTGCATTATTTTTGTATTAAAATGTGCCACGCATAAACAGAGGTATCAGAATAACCAACTTTATAAACCAACTCGACGAAAAGTGCAGCGTTGCCACGATCTTTCAGTTAGTCGAGAATATGTTAAAAGATTCGAGTCGTAGATGAAGTTTCTCATGGTTTTAAATCAACTATTCAATGCGATTTGCATTCAATTATCAAGAGACGGGGTAGCGTCTCGACGCCAAGTATTAAAAGAAAAAATCGGCCTCCTCACGAGACCATACCGCTACTCTTATTGACGCCAAGTTGGCGCTTTTTCGTCTGCTACGATGAAATAACTTGAATTATCTGCGGGTATATGTCGTGGGCGAAAAATGTGTCAGGTTCAATATTTTTTATTTTTTTTTCTCTTTACAATGAGCCTTTAAAATAATAATAAATAAAATCGGTTCCAGCAATGCTGATATCTGGCATTTTAGCAATATCAGTCAAACAATTTTTCTCAATTTGTCCCCTCTCACACAATCTTACAAAATTTGTCCCCTCGCATATACGTATGAGCTTCGACGCGACACAGGCATAACGATTCGAGACGCGCATGTGCAACGAGCCATTGAACACGTGTAGTCTTCTGTTTATATGGCGTCAGCTGTTGGCTACTATCTTAACCTGTCTCTTCATGAAAAAATTCAGTCATTTCATGATTTGATTGTTTCATTACCGCTTTACCGGTTAATTAATCATTTATTAATCATTTTTTATTTAGTAACTGTAGTGTGATATATATGTCCATAGCTCAGAAAAGGGAAGCAATGGATTTACCAAGAGGTATTTTAATGCGGCATGGATTGCTTTTTTCCTGTTTCTTCACTCTGATTGCTCATTTATGTCAAAGAATGCTCCATGAATTTGCTGCATAGGTACTTTATAGTGTTAAACATTTAATAATTATAATTGTCTGTCGAAAGGACTTCAGTTGATTGAAATAGACAGTTTGTCTGAATGAATTCATTCAAAATAGACAGGTTATCATATTTAAAGAATTAACGCTATGAAATATCTAGATGGTTAACTTGTAGAGCACACTTAAAAAAACTGAGTGAGCTTCACCGCATTAAAATAGGTAGAGAATTACAGACTTCTTGCAAAATCTATTGCTACTTTAAAGTTTTTCTGGGTTAAGGACACACAACGTAACACCACTCTGTCTTATTCATGACTAAGCTGGACTATTCATTTTTCAGCGGATACATAATGTATCCTGTCTACGATGGCTTTTGGTATTCCATAGTTCAGCACCGGTAGGGTGCTGGAGACCAACTTTCTGACAATAACCATCACTTTTGCTTAACACCAGGAAAAAAAGTATGAGTAATTGAAAATGACTGGACGCAAGAGTCAATTTGCTTGAGACAAGGATTTAAATTGTATTTAACCTTCTGCTTGGCAAATTCATTGCATCTGATACTTTTTTTTTAGCGTTGAGTAAATCAAGAACATTACAGTCCAGGGTAGTTCGAATAAACA